AAACGTGAACATGAAAGGTCTTAGTATTGTTGCTATATTAGCCCAAAAGTGAAAATTATGCCAAATGCCCATCAGTTGTTAACTGGATGAATAAAACATGAGCTGTTTATATAATGGAATATCATTTAGCAACAAAAAGAAAGATTTATCCTTCAAAAATGGATAAGTTTTGAACAAAGACATCGATTAAAAAGTCCTGATTATAAAAGATGACACATTATATAATTTCATATGAAATGTTCAGAATAGGCAAATCTATACAGACAGGAAGTAGATGAGCAGTTGCCTAGAACATTGATAGAGTGAAAAGAAACAGGGAGTGATAGCTAATGGACTTGGGATTTCTTTTTGTAGTGATAAATATACTCTAAAATTAATAGTGCTGTTTTATTTCACAACTATGAATATACTAAAAATCACTGAATTGTATACATAATGACTGAATTTTAAGGTATATAAATTATATATTAATGTAGATACATGTATATGTATGTGTAAAAATATACATATATATGTATATTCATGCAAATGTGTCCTTTGTCCTAGAGTAAATATGAATAATGTCTAACTCAGAAGTTAACTGCTATTTTTTTTTCCCTATTGCCACTGGTTTTGTGTTTTCTAGAGAAACCTCTTCCCCACTCTCTTAGCGTAAATATTTGGAGGTTTGAGAATTAAACCAAAAAAAGACAGATTAACAGGATAAAAGGCATGCAATTTTTATCAACATTTATACACATGGAAGTTCACAGAAAGAAGTGAAATTCAAATAAGTGGTTACGTTCAACAATTTATATGTTTTTTAACAAAGCAAAGAGAATTTGGGCCTTGAGGAACAATAAATCTTAAGGAATTGACTAGAAAATAGATGGAACTAATGGAAGATAAGGATGATTTTTGTGGGCTGTGTTTATATAAAATCATCTTGCTTCTGGCTCCCATCTTCAATGTGGGTCATTCTTCTTTTCAGGTACTAGGGTGTCTGGAGAGGGACACTTCCTCAAAGGGAAATTCATACCTTGATTTTAGACAGCTGAGCAGAGGGCAGAAAACTCTTCTGAAAAATGTTCATTCTCAGTTGCCTTCAGCTCAATGTAATCCTTATCCCAAAGTGGCACATAATAGGGTAGAATATTCTGGTCCCCTTCATCTTCTAGGTTCCTCAACTATAAGAATGAAGCTTTTATTTCTTTTCTTTTCCTTTTTAATTATTTTATGAAACTTGTCATTAATCATGTTTGTTTTTTTATGTACTTCATAGGAACTAAAATTAAAATGGCAGCTGAATCAGCAGCACCAGGAAGCTCAGTCTTCTAAATTGCATAACCATTGTAGTTAACCTTTAAAATTGAAATTCTGCAGCACAAAAGATTTAAATGCTAAAAGATTCATAAGATGAATCTTAATTTGGAAGTATATTTTGTGCAAGAAACAAATATGATAGAAAATGATTAAAATAATATTTTCAGTGCATTCTCACCTAGCTTCATAGAGCTAGGAAGGTCAGAGTGAATAACTAATAATTTTAGCAAAAACTACCAAGAATTTTTAATGAATGGACCCACCCACTATGAACCAAAGAAATGACAAACTCCAGGACTTCCCACAAAATATTTTTTTCATGAAAGTTATCAAGAAAGTTTTAAAATTTTATTCATAAAGAGGGAGATTCAAATACTTAAAATTAATAAAAATATTTCTATATTCTACATATAGAAAGCTTCAAAACTAATTTCTGTTTGCTAAAAATAATTTAAACAGAAATATGCTTTTTTAAAATATCAAGGTCACAAATTTTTAATGTTATTTTCCAAATTAATTTATAAAGTTAATGTAAGATTTGTATTGTTTTTGTGGTGGTGGGGATTGAACTCATGGTCTCATACATACCACAGAAGTGTTCTACCACTGAGCTATATTCCCAGCCTTAAAATCAATGTAATTCTAATCAAAATCTCAATATGATTTATTGTTTTTAAAAATCAGGAAAAAGGGAATAAATTCTAGAGAAAACTGGACGGAAAAATGTACTTTTAATATTTGAACAGTAAAAGCAATAACAGATGTAGTATATCACATGTTTGAATATATAAAGCTACGAAGACAAATACTGGGCAAGCTACTATGACAACAGGGTCAGGAGGAGAAAATGATGAACAAGAGTAAATATGTCGTCTATGTGAGAGTATTCTAGTGAAATATTTTAAAACAGTATGTTTGTCATTCTTTTTACGTCCTGAAGTTCCTTTTGAACTGATTGCTATTTTTTTTTTTTAACATTTCATTGCTGTGGATTGAACCCAAGGCCTCATTCATGCTAGGCAATCATTCTGTCACTGAGCTGCATCCCTAGTCCTGATCACATTTTCTGTTTAAATTATTCACCATTACATCCCTAGTCCTGATCATATTTTAGTTGAAATTATTCACCATCACATCTAAGATAAATGCTTATGGAATTTATTTATGATTTTGTCATAATTACTAGTTTGTTTACAGTAATTCTTAAGGAGTCAAATGGAGCTTGCAGAGGGAATGGAGTCTTCTCATTATACACAGCCCTCTCCCCATGTTCTGATGTGTACCTTCTGATGAAGAGCGACTACTTCTCTAGGAAGCATTTCCTTAGTTAGACACAGATTAGAATAGGCTCTATTAATAATTAAGTATTTTGTGGATAAAAAATTGAGTGCCCCTGACAAAGTAAAATGAAAATCTTTAATAGCTTTTATTCTGTGGATCAGAACTCTCTTATCAACAAATTTAAAACTATTGCTGCCTTTCTGGCCTTCCTCTAAGCCTTAAGTCTGTGTCCATTCCAACCACTTTGGCTTTCCTTGACACACAACATCTTGCGGTCAGCTAGATTTCTCCTTGAAAAGAGAATAAAGATTTTAGAAAACCGGCTTCAGGTCTTGACTATCCATAACCTCATTCCCTTGCCTGTTTGCTATCCCTCTCACCCATCTGGGAAATATACGCATCTGTGTGATTGTGTGCTACCTACAGTGTCTGTGTTGAGCACCCTTGAAGCTCTTTGCTCATCTCCAGAAGAGAAGCAAATGTGGCATTTAACTGAACTGCTTACTTCAGCCTGAGTAAGGGAGATAGTTCCAAAAGCTCTTACTTGACAGAGTTTCATCACTAAATTCTGTAATATGATTTTCCCAAGGTTTAGTATAATGATATTTTCTTTGAGAAATGTATTATGATATAAATTAAAACACCAGATTTGTAGTCAAAACATTGTGGACTTGCTTTTTATTGGTTGCGTGTTCCTGAGCAAGACACTTAATCTTCTCTGCTTTTTTTTAAATTTAAAATTATGTATATATTAGCATAGTATATGATCCTCATAGTAATAGTGGTTAAATAAAAGAGATGTTTTGTAATTATTGTCATATTTTGAAGGCTCTATTCCTGTAGACATGAAATTAATATTTTTTTATATGTGAGGCTGTTTCAAGCCAATATAAAGTGAAAGATATATATTATTTCTGTTTACAGGAACCACAGAGTTTCAAATCAATTCATATGTAATGATTCAGGACCTTAAAAATAGCAATGTCTTTGCAGCCAAGTGTGTAGTCTAGCTAAACAGGTGGTTTTATAATAAAGATAATCTGAAGTTTTTAATAAGCAGTATTAAACATAGACTGCTAACAGTGCACAATTGGTAACTTGTTCCTTTTATAATAGTGCTTTAGTATTCCACTGAAACATGGCTAGTGGATGTGCAATATTCTTAGTTACCATTATGAGGGACTGTGTATATTACAGCTTCTCTACTGTCTCTGCTGTTAGCTGGGAAAATGCTGGGAGCAACAGCAGCTACTATCAACAGGGAGCCATATTAATTATTTGAAATGTGCCTCATAAGAGGAATCAGCAGAGTTTATTACAAGTCGAATATTACTTGAAACGGGAAGGTTACTCTAACTGTTATCATAATCTATGTGTCATTAACTTTCCTTGTTTAGGAAAAGAGATTAACAACCCTGTAAATTGCTATAGTAAATGTGAGAAATATAACTGCATATTCCCATGTAGAAAGGAAGTGGTGGATTCTTCACTTCTACCCAAACCGTTTTTTACATAAAGCAGCTTTAGAAAATGAACTGACTATGTAATTATGCTTCCTTGCCTCAAAATCCTATGGTTTGCTGCATCATCAATATAAACTATAGTTACTTTGAGTATTAGAAAAAAAAAAATGTATTTAAGCTAGCTTTTTTTTTTTTCCTAAGAAAGGGCCTCACTGTGTTGTCCAGAGTGGTCTTGAAAATGCTAACAGTTTTTTAAATCACCATTTTGAATTCCAAATCAACTAGCACTTAAACTCATAAGACAAAAAGCATATTACACTTAAGTATGTGAGCAGATAGAATGCTTTATTAGAAATAGAGAATAAATCCAGCTATTTGCTTTTTAAATTATGACTCCTTCTTGTTTTTCCATCAAATACAATAAGCAGGTAGGAATGTTTTATCTATTCAAATAATGGAAGAAAATCCTCAAGGTAAAATATAAGTTAATCATTGCTGTCAAGTGGTCTAAATAAATGTTACTCAAAGTGTCATCTGTATGTTGAGTGCCAGTTTGCAAATTGTTTATTACTTCTCTGCAATGAAATGAGTACAAATATTGAAAGCAGGTTGACAGAGCACTTAATATCTGTTTAATCTAGCAATAAAAAAATGGGAACTTGAATTTTTTATGTCTTTGAAGTTTTTCCATTTCATTTTTCTTATAACTCGTTTTTAAAGTATCACTGCATAATACATTTATAATTTAAATAAAAGGAGAGGAAGACTTGTTGAAGCAACAATTTATTTGGGTGATGTTTTGATGATTTATTCTATATTTATGTTTGGGAAGATTTTTCTAAACTCTGAAGTGAATATTAATTCAATGTAGAGCTAGAAAATATGACATCATAAGAACAAAAGGCGTATAAAGACAGAGCTTCTATGTCTTAACATTTCCTTTTGTGTCCACAGGACAAGCACATCATGGACAGGTTTCCTATATCTCTCCACCAATTCACCTTGACTCTGAGCTGGAAAGACCCCCTATTAGAGGTGAGTTCTTCCCTATTTAAAAAAAAAGAAACAATAGTTTCATCAACGATCAACATTCTTTGATGAGGTTCAGTAATTAAAGACAGTTAGTTATAAATATGTATTTTGTACTGCAGTGATTGTTTTAAAAAGCAGGGATTAAAAAAATAAAGTGTGTGAGTAGTCTGGGAACAGAGAGTCTTTCTTATATTTGAAAGTGTGAGCTATTGTTCTGGGGAATACTTGTAAGCCAAAATATAACCAGAATACAGCAGCTTCATAAAACAGGGATCCATAGTTATTCAACTAATGGTGGACAAGTTGAGATCACTAGATAACATTACTTTTCTTTTTTTCCATTATCCTATCTTTCACATTATAATATCTTGATCAAAAGCATAATGACACATTTACTTTTAGAAATTGTCATTTTATTGTGATTCCATTTAAAAGTTATTTTATTGTTACTAAAATCACTTAGTTTTAAAATTAAATTATGTATTTTCAAATTCGTGCCACTTGATGTTTTAGTTAAAGCTTTGTTGAATAGTCATACAAAATGAAAATCCAAAGGTTAGAATTAAATGATTCAAAATACAAGTAGAGACGCCTGGCATGGTGGTGCATGCCTGTAATCCCAGCAACCTGGAATGGTGAAAGGAGGGCCACAAATTCAAAGCCAGCTTCAGCAATTTAACAATGCCATGTCTCAAAATAAAAAAATAAAAAGGTCTGGAGATGTGGCTCATTGGTTAAGTGCCCCTGGCTTCAATCCCCAGTACTAAAGAAAAACACAATTTGAAAATTATTTTTTGTGCTTTTAAAAAAGCACTTATCCGGCTGGGCACAGCATCACATGCTTGTAATCCCATAGGCTCGGGAGGCTGAGGATGAGGGTCACAAATTCAAAACTAGCCTCAGCAACTTAATAAGCCCTATTCACTTAGTGAAACTGTCTCAAAATAAAAAGTAAAAGTGGGCTGGAGATGTGACTCAGTGGTTAAGTGTCCTGGGTTCAATCCCTGATAAAGAAAGAAAGAAAGAAAAGAAAGAATGAAGCACTTATCTATGGTTTTCAGAATGTTTCATAAAAAATGTTTCATAAAAAGAGATCAAAGCAGATTTTGTTTGTTTGTTTTCTGCAGTACTGGTATGGAACCCAAGGACACTCTACCTCTGAGCTATGCTCCCAGCCCTATTATTTTTTTGAGACAGGGTCTTACTAAACTGCCCAAGCTGGTCTCCTTCTCGAAAATTCTCCTGCTCTGCCTTCAAAACAGCTGGGATTACAGGTGTGTGCCACTGTGCCTGGCTCAAAAAAACTAATGATTTTTAAACATGTCCTCAAATTTTATAAATACCAGTTATCCCAAGGTCACTTTTTGGTTTTAGCTAATGCAGCACTTTTTTTTTTTTTTAAATATCACTTACCTGATTAAAAAAAAATTAGATCTGATTATTTTTTAGCATGTTTTATGTCCAGGCTTTTTACCTCTTGTCTAATAAATTTCTGCCAGCTTGTCAAGGCACTACTGTATTATCAGTTCCTCAGAAGGGAGGAGCTCTGTGCCTCTGTCTCTAAATGCCCCTGTGCTTCCCTCCATTATAACTAAGGCATTGTATTTGATAGAGCAGCATGCATGTTTCCTCTCTTATCTGTATGCTCCTGGAGGGCAGAGGGTACCATAATTATTATTTCTGTCCAGCCATTGGTCTATGCTTGACACATATTGGCAACTCATCCAGTGATTTCTGTCCAAATGACTAACAGTCTAGATTTTGAAAAATGTATTTATGTTTTTTAAGAGAAAAAGGAGGCAGGGATGAAAAAGGAATCCCACAGAAAGGAAACAGAATGAACCAAAACATGGATATATGAAATTGTGTGGTATTTCTAAGGTAGTATGCTGGAGCAATTCTACAGAGAAAAAAAATGGAATAATGTAATTAAGACTATGAAAGTTTCTGTATTCTTTACTAAGGAGTTTGGGAAAAAAGAACCATGAAGTACTTTTGGGTGTTTCCCCCCAAGTCAATGATGTGTTACATCATAACATTTCAGTTCTTCATATAAAGAAAACATCTCTGATGTTCCTATGAATAGTGATCTGATAAGCGAAGAAATTAGCAGAGGAAGCTTATCCAGCAGTTCAGACAGACGATAATGGGGCAACTAGGAATGTGTTTCTGACCATGAAGTAATTATTGGTAAACATGGAATTGTGTTTTTGAGTTTGGCACAGTGGTGCAGCCTTTTAGTCTCAGCTACTCAGGAGGCTGAAGCAGGAGGATTGCAAGTTCAAGGAGAAACTTTGCAAATGAGGCAAGATTGTGTCTCAAAAATAAAAAGGTCTGGGGATGTAGCTCAGTGATAGAGTACCCCTGAGTTCAGTTCCCAGTACCACAAAATAAAGCAACAACAACAACTCTATTTTGAAAATGAATGATGTGTGTGTATATATATGCAGAGTAACACAACATTACCTTCTTTCTTTTCATGTTCTATAATCCATGAATCATTTGGGGTTTATTCTGTATGTCACCATCCCACCTTTTCTCATTTTCACTGTAATTTTTTATGGAAATGTATTATATGCTAGTGCTGCATTTATTTATCATAATGTGTTTCTTTTTGACATTGAGCATTTGAATTATGTCCAGTAATGTCTTACTAACCATAAGGAAAATGTAGTAGCAACTTACACAATACCCTTAAATAAAATGTATTCTCTACAGTTGCAAAGTAGCTGTTGTATATAAATTCAGTGGCACTTACCCACTAATGAGTAAATTTGAGAGATTCTGTTCTTTAAATCTAATGTGATCATACATGGTATTTGGTCACATAATTTATGCTTGTGATAACTTTATGTGCATTCTTCAATTTACAGATTTTATTACTGAATAGAGGTGTAAATTCCAATAGTTTACTAGTGCATTAATGTCACAATACATTACAAGGTAATTAACCAGAGCTGCCACTATAAATAGAAAAATAGTCACAGCCTTCACTATAAACTACTTAATAAAAATAAGGTCCTGAATCAGCATTCACCATTATAGTAATTTTTCTTGACATATGTCCCATTAATCAGGACTTTAAAAAAAAAATAGCTTCATCTGGAAGTAGTGTTATTTTTTAGCCATTCATTATTAAAACAAGTTTGTTACACTTTTGTACTTATTTTAATGGGAATGGTTATATATTTCACTATGAAAATAAATTCTACATGTCTTTGAGACACATTTCCCACTTTATACAAGTGGAAATGAAGGAAACACTATTTTGGCTATTTTGTGGCAAATTGGTAAATAATTGCATTGTAATTCTTAGCAGGGCTCATTAAGTGTTGGAGTTCTCCAAGTCATGTGTCCCTCCAATTTTTCTTTCTTGCAGCCTTTATTTTGCCTCCTAACTATTCATATGCAAAATATCCTTCTCTAGAATTCTGTCTATATTACAGGCAGAACCACTCAAGAAAAGTGATTGCGTGGGACTTGGTGTAGAAGCTGAATCAGAGTCCTGAGCAGAGGCATACATTTTTGGGGATACAGACATAACCCATCAGACTCCCTTCGGTTGAATGTACCGTTTTTGCTTTTTCATTTGCTTGTGTCATTGTTTTCCTATACAACTTGGGGATGGCCTTGGCTGTCAATCATGGAACCCAACCTAGGAGTTCTTCAAATAGCTAGCAAGTAAAGTTGGATAAATTCATGTGAATTACAAAAAAAGATTAACTTCTAAAATGTCCTCCATTTATATTACTAAAGATGATATTTTGAATGTTTCGCTATATTGCATTTATTTTGTATAGTCTTTCTTTAGGTAGCATCTCAATAAGAAGTCTAATATTGAAATGTACTAGTTTGTACACTTGCTAATTTTGACAGTTACAATCTATACTCTGAGAAAAGAGCTCAAATATTGGCTCACATTTGAGAAAATTGCATCTATTTTTTTCCAGTTTTTTCTATAATAGACTGAGTAATATAAACATGGTTCAATTGGCACATAATCAGTGAACTAGAATAATGCCAAGCATTAAGTTTCATGTGCGAATTGAATTACATTCAGCAAATCCACACACTGAAAATATTTTTTAAAGTTCGAAATAAGCAGATGGTCCTGCCTGGTGCATCTACATTAAAAATAGACTGTAGCCAAGATTTAGCATCACAAATTAGAGATGTTAACACACAGTATCATCTAGTGAAATGTAAAAACATTTCAAATTGATTAAAGTAAAATAGGAATGTGACATCTGGCATTGTTATTCCAGAGTTTCTAGGCCCATTCTCTAATACTCTACAATGGGTGCTTTTCTAACTAATCTGGTTAGTATACACTATCTGGCAGAACATAAATTTCCTAGCTTTACCTATGCTTATCCCAAGAAAATGAAAATGAAGCTATCATATAAAGAATGCTCTGGTCATGGTACTTCAACACGCTTATCCTACACTTGTGAATGCCTAACAATTATTTTTTGATAGGAGGGTATCATGTAAAGTATGCTGTGCACATCTCTGAGATACAGAGAGTACAGCTTGCTATTTTAATGACAAACACAGCTTCATTTATTGTGTACCTTTTATCTAACCCTGTAAAAAACAAAATTTACTGCATATTGTCTCATGTAGTCCCAGAAGGATCTTATTTATTTAAACTTAATGATCAATCATGATCATATTTCTAGCATCAATCATAGTATCATAATACTATATAAACACTGATTGAATTTGGGTTGATTTAATTGAAATTACATTCTAAACATAATATTAAAATATACTCATCATTCAATATTGTCAGGCCTAACTTTGAAGGTTTTGTAAACCTATAACATACTTTCCAAATGTAAGTTGTTTTAAAATTAACATTAAGAATTTGAAACAAGTTATAGCACTCTTGTTGGCCCCTTGTGGAATATAATTTATATGCTGAGAATAATTATCCCAGAATGTAAAATGATCTGGTAGTTTTTCACTTTAGGATCAGATGACTTGTCCTTGTCAACTCT